TGTATAAAATACACCTTCATGACACACTCAAGCTGGAAATCACAGCAACCAATAAAAATGCAGGCAGCTTACTGATAATGAGGTCAGAAATACAAATAAATTTACTTTTAATGAAGACTGGAGGCACAGTAATCAAAGTGTTAAAATTCATTTCATGCATATCTCATTTGCTTCTTAGCTGATATTTACCACGCAATTCTGTGAGAAAGTAGAGGCCTAAGATGCTCCAGATAAATGGCTCAATTAATTGTACAGAGGTAGACCTCTTTGAGCTGAGCCAGAGCTGTGAGCTCTTTATTAAAAGCACTATTCTGTAGCCCATAACCTTGTTCCTTGACTCCTCTCTGGTTTCCAATTTAAACAAGTCCCCATGCGGCCTGCTCTAAAGGGCTTTGTCTCCCTGTCATTGTTAAGAGAGCTGAGGCATCCTGGAAGTGTGAAATCAGACCTCATGAGTTGAACGGTTCCCCAGGGAACGCTGGACTGCGCAGAAGGTCAAAGTCATGGGCCGGACCATCTAAAAGTGTCTGATCGCCCGTCTGTGACACAGCAAGTTGGGGAGGGGGGAGGGCTAGACTGAGAGGACTGAAATTGAACACATCTTAATTAAAGCCCACAGACAGCAAAACAAAATGTTTTCTAGGCAGCCTGTCAACTGGGGCTTAAATTTAGCTCTGCTAATGAATCTGAGCTGCTAACTGTTATTTCTTAAGATAATAAGACTCTCATGGAAGCTGGGGGAAGGGGGGTGGAAACTGTAGCATGTCTTTTTCTGCTGTTTTGCTACTTAAATATTTTCCAACAATGAAGATGGTTTTCCTAAAGAAAAAAAAACATGAGAGAAGTCTGTGCAAATAAAGGGGTAGTAAACATCTCGCTTAATAACTACTAGGTTTCCAGACTATGGGACTGGTGAGCTGAACACAGTCTATATTCAGAGCCTTGCTTTAGAAAAAGATATGCTCATTTAAACGGGACCATTTCAGTGACAGATTATGTTAACTGTAAAATTCTCTCTCTCTCTCTCTCTCTCTCTCTCTCTCTCCTCTCTCTCGTTTCCTGAATGAGGTGGTTCGTTCATTTGATATATCAATTCACCTGGGTGCAGAAGCTTTAGAGTAGTGCACCTTTTAACAGAGTGAAAAGGTAGGGCATCTTTTGAAAGGGTTTCACAGTGCTCCCATATCACTGTTTCTGAAACTGAGTGGCTGGTATCCCTGGGGACACTGTGACCTCTTCCTTGGGAGCTCAGCGGAGGGGCTGAGGAAAGAATTCTTTTCTCTTAGAACTTAAAAGAACGAACTAATCGGCCAGGTCTAAATATTCTGCAAAGAAAGCCTCACTCAATATAGAAGACTTTATATGTCCTGCTGAAAGCAGAAATTAGGACCCGTCCAAAGAAAAGAATAATTAGAAGCTAGAAAAGGCAAATTCCACCATGAACTGTTTTCCACCAACAATAAATAAATGAATAAATAGCTCCCCCCCCCCCCCCCCCCCCCCCCAGGACACTTGATTTATTGGGAGAGAGAATCTTCCCCAGTGAGCACAGGGCCAGGCAGTCTCTAAGTTTTGCTTTGATGGCACAGAGAGACACTGACCTTTTCACTGGTTGCCTGAAAGGTAAGTAAGTTGTACTGCACAGTATTTTCCAGTTAATCAAACTTTTTCCCTCCCAAAGAGTTTAGCTGACCAACTTTGAAAACCAGAGTGCCACTTTCTCAGGCTGTGAAAGGCAGCCCACAATTTGACTGAAATTTCAATCCACTCTTGTGCCTTGCTCAATGCATGTGTATGTGTGGGAGTTGTAAATTGAGGCCTTAACCACCAGAGTTAATCTCTTTTTAAAATCTGTATTAACCTTAATGATTTGAAGTGCACTGTCCAACACTAGGCTATTGAGACTGAAGAAAAAACTACCCTCAACGATCAACAGTTTATTGGGGGCTTAACTGAAGTGACCTACTGTAGTGGTGCTCAGCTGAACAAGGCTATAGGCTTTCTGTGGAAAGGGAAAGAATTGAGGGCTTCATTAAAAAGTAATTTGTGCTTTATGCGCACTCATTCAAAGAGTCTCAATTGCTCTTTATTCACACAGAGTTAATACAGTATCACAATGTTTCTCAATGAATGTGTTGTAACAAAAGAAAAATTTTACATTTTGAAAGGGAAAAATTCTTTGGAAGTGCGGTAAGATTGATGGCTACTTAAAAGATTATAGCCTCTCTTTTTCCTGTGTTCATGTTAAATGATGAAATACTGTAATTTAAAATCATTGTTTAAATTATGGAAGTTTAACTTTATTTTTGGATCATTAAAAATATTTTTAAAATACAGCAAAGTTGGTCAAATATAAGTGTGTCTTGTTCGACTTGTCTATTAATAAAAAAGTTCTGAAGCCAACCAAGCATCTAATAGTAATAGCTTCATTTATATCAGAAAATACTCTTCACTTAGCACAGAGAGTTATCAGTGATTTTAAATCTCCCCTCTCTATCCACAATACTCCTAAATGGATGCTAATTTTCAGATTTGAAGACAGCACCATTGACTCAATTCCCTTTTTTTAAAAAAAATGTTGCTGAATATCTTGTAGAGCCTGACTATGATTATCCATGAAGATATACAACACATTTTTTTAAGTACTTCTTTGAACAAGTAAGAGATGAAGTATATAAGAAGCTTATTTGTGCCCCAACCTTAATGATAAAGACCAGGAATGATCAGTATATAAATCTTTATCCTTTTCAGAAGTAAGGATTATTTTAAAAATTGGTATTGTATTCAGATATTTCTGATGTAAATATATACTCCTCAGTTTCTGCCACCATCACAAATGTCATAAAGACCACAAAAGGTCCAAGAGTGAACAAGGTCAAAGACTGAATTATCCTCTTGCCCCTGAATAGCTCAACATCTCTCTTGTTCAATTCAGAGCACATTAAATTATAAGGTCAGTGTGGAATGAGAAATCATGAGATTTATATCCCTAAAACTGGCGGGGGAAAAATGAAGAATCTGTTATTTAGTACTCCCCAAATTAACGTTTATTTTATCAGATAAAAATTATGTCTCACTGAATCCCTAGGAAGAAGGCTATTGTTATTCACATTCATTTACATATTAGGACATTATAACCATTGGAAAGAAATATATTTATTTTTCTCAGCATTGAAAGACTGTACTTTAACCTTCATAGTAGCATATGGGCCAACTGGGTTAACATAGTGTGCATATTCATGAGTTTTGAAAGTAATGATAGCTTCTCTCCAGGAAAAACAAACTACATAATTGCATGCAACCTGTGCAATGGGCAGGTATCTGAGCATGTAAAGTAAATGGGACTTGAATTTTTCTATAATAAATTATTGCGCCCGCTATAAATGTTCAGTAATAGTTCAGATCACTTAGGTGCCCCCTAAGTGATCTGAACACCTGAAGATAGGCTTTTCTCTCTATCTTCAGGTGTTTTCAGCCAAACACTGGGTGCTCCCCTCCCCTACAGAAAATCCTGAAGGAAAGTGAAGGTGTCTCCCAAGAGAGAATGTCACTGCCCTGAATTCCTGAATCTACCTGGGAATCGCAGGCTAGGCGAAACCTCCCTGGGGTAAAAGCAATACTGTGTTCCTGTTCCAGTCATCAAGTTAATGTCCAAAGTGAACAGAAAACGAGTAGTTAGCCAATCATCTATCTATCGTTGACTATTAGCTCCAATTATATGTGCAGCATTGTAATAATAAAAAAGAAATCATCATGTCCAGATTAATTTGATTACAACTACATCAGAGATAAAAAAGAAAATGAATAAACTTAGCATTCACTAATTATTTAGTACCAGGAGCCAAGTCAGCATAAATCCAGAAAGATGACAAACTACCTTCTCTCCTGCTATTTTCAGGTAGGCCTATTTTGAAAGAATATTTGATAACTGTTATTATCTTCTGGCCTACAAATAAGTTGGCAATTACCTCTTTAAAGAAACTGTAAACTCTCAACATTTTAATTTTTATCACACATTAAATAGTCTCTTGATAATATGCAAATATGAAATTATTTAAATATTGCTGTTTTTGAGCAGAAATCTGCTGTTTTAGTTTTAAGGCATGTGATCTTTTAATTAGGTTTTGATTTGATGAATTAAAGAAGGGTTCCATTCATCATGTAATGGATTTACAAGCCTTTAGATAGTAGAAGGGTCATTTCTCCCCTTCAAATGAGTCCCAAAATCCTGTGAAATTAAACAATTAATGAATGATCACATACTTGCAAATTCAAAATAATGATTTAATTCTGGAATATGATAAAATAATTACCATTAGCCAATTAATATGTTATAGAAACAGCAATACCCAAATCAGAAAGCTTTAAGAGAGAAGACTAATTTTGGCATTTTCACAGACATATTTCTTGTTTTAAAATATGTAGAACAATGTGGATGCTTAGCTTAGGTCCAAAATTATCTCTGGAATGTGCTAAGGAATTTGGGCAACTAAGAAATTTGATCAGCAACCCAAATACCAAGAGTTCATACCAAGTAATTGAGTATTATGCATCTAAGCTTTTCAATGAATTATGCAATGAATATTATGCATGTTTGTGTTGATGCTATGGTATCATCTTAGGTGATACCCCCTGAGAGAAGATACAGCATTACTCCAAAATGACAAAAGGTGGAAGAAAAATCCCCCCTATGCTGACTGAACTTTGGAGAAGACAACAATTTAAAAGTTATTTTATTTTTTATTATTTATATTTTAACATATTACCCTTACTTTAAAATGTACTGGCAATATAAAAATTGGTGGCTGGCAAATCTTTGTAAGATCAACACTGAAACTTTATATTATCTACTTTGATAACCCAACCAGGTAAACTGAAGAGTTCAGTCATTAAATGCCACAGACCTTGCATGCTGCTTGACTTCTATTTATATCTATATCTAAGTCTGTATCACCTATATTTATATGTACACACAACAGGGCAATTGCATTATTTCTTACCTGTCACATCAGCAGCCATTAATCCTTCTGCTCTGATTACTTTCACCTGGAGAAATCCCACATCTTTCAGGTTGTGAAATATCCGCAATGGGCTCTGAAAGACCCCAACATCAGTATTAGAAAAGAAAGGTCCTAAACAGTCTCAAAGAGTGTTGTGAGAAAACAGTAAATTTTATGGTTGATTTCAGGATGCTGCTTAGGTGATTCAAAGGATATTGGTGTTTCTTCAATACAGACTACCCTTCCACCATTATGAATGTGTGCATACACACACACACGCACGCACGCACACACATACACACACATTTAAACTCCACAACATTTCTTCCCCATAAATAATTATCGGTAGTTGGTGAACAATAAATTATAAAATAGGATATGACTGCTTTTTTGCCCTTTGATCTCCTTTACCAAAGCTTCTCATGAGTATGATGGTTTGGAGACTCACACTTCTTAATACTGAATCTTAAATTGTTGGTTATATACTACTTCAGACTTTGGGAGTAAAAAAGTCAACATTAAATTAATTATATTTTCTACTATTTTCTTCTTAATGAGCATTGGAAATTGCATGTGCTAAATGGAGGTTAAATTATTGAAAGACTTTTCTATATTTAATTTAAAAGACTTGGTGAGGTATTCTATAAACCTTTTAGGTAGAAGACATAAAATCCTCAAAAATAAATCAAATTGGACCTGACCATGTGGCTCTGTTGGCTGAGTATCGTCCTGTGCACCGAAGGATTGCCGGTGATTCCATTCCCTGTCAGGGCACGTATCTGGGGTTTGCTATGGGTACCCGAGGCAAGCGTTGATGTTTCTCTCTTTCCCTCCCCCTTCCTCTCGCTCTAAAATCAATTTAAAACACACATTTATAAAAATAAATAAAATTGACCACTAAAAATGAGCTAAAAAGTGATGAGTAATTTTTCTTAAATTTGCAGTTGTATTTACAAATGTAGTATGTACGGAGGTAGAAGTAGAGAAATTGTGATAGAATCAGACCCAGATGATAAAACCTACTTAATTCCATAAATTAATAATGGCAGTGTTTTAATAAGTTTAGTACTAGAAGGAATTAAAAGAGGGGTACTAATACAATAATTCAAAGCTCTAATTAATGGGCACAAATACTTAAAGAGTAAAATAAACCTATAGAACTTTATATGCATTTGTTTATTTACAAATTATAGCATTTTTTCTTATGCCAAGATCAGCATTTCTACTCAGTAAATCAAAGGTATTTCTTTATCATAATCTTTAAAATGCTTTATGACCAGGGAACATAGCATACTTTTGTATTAAACTTAGCTATTCAAATGTTACCAAAGAACATTTGCATCCTGTATTAAGCATGTGAGAATACTGAGAAAGCGAAGCTTACGGCGATATTAACTTTATCAGTCCCATATGACCAGTCACTGTTTACACTGGAGCTATGACTTCCTCACATCAAGAGCAGGAAATGCAGATATATGTGCAATCTCATAACCTAACTTTAAAAAAAAAGGTGTTTAGCCCAAGGATTAGCTCTTAATCTTTTATTGTTTTTAAAGGGTTGTTTATCTCCCCAAACAGTTTAAGCTACCGGATAATAGGTATTCAATAAAAAGGTATTTCTCTCCCCATTTAAATGACTGTAAACAAGGCTCTAAAGTGGGAACTGTAGACAGCGGTATTAGAATCCAGAGGTTTGTAGGCATGCCGTCTCCCTAATGCGGTCATGATCAGGTTTGGGAAGCTTCTCATCTCGGAGCTCACTGCGTGCTGTACACCAGGTCAGCCTCCTATCCTAACGATGGGGAAGAGTTTTCCGAAAAGGTTCCTGTTCTTTCATTTTCAGAAGCCATTTGAACCAAGCTTCACTGTGACTAAAACATACATCAGTCCTCGTGTCTGAGAATCGCTTCGTACCGCTAACCACACTGCACAGACACAGCTTCGGGGGCTCCGGCCCCGGTGTTCTGCTTCCCTTTTGGAGAGGTAATTATTGTTTGTGGGTTTCATTCCCTTGAATCAGCTGACGCTCAGGCATCTATTGTGAACTTCAGCTGTTTAGGCTAGTGACATATTGAGTATGATAAGAATTCCAAAAAAGCCCAAGACCGAAATATACCAGTTAAAAAAAATTACAACTCTTAAGTAATGCTTTGTCAAGAGGTATTCCTGCCTTGTTATTTATGGTTATTTCAGAAGGCTTCAAAACCTAGATGGCTCTTGAAGCCAGAAATTTCCATAGCAGAGGAATGCATGATTTGCTGTGAATCCTTTCAGCCCTCAATAGATGGGAAAAGATTGAAATGCTCTGGAGAGGAGTCCTCTTTATTTTTTTTAATGAAAGGCTGTATAATATATTTTCTCTATGGCCGCAGCAGCTGTCAGGGAGAGCATCTCAGTTCAGCTCTATTACGGGAGAGGCAATGCCCCATCCTATGGCATCGAGATGCTCTGAGGGGCCAGGGCTGATTGACAGCTTGTCACCGTGACGTCTTATTCCATCTCTGTTATGGAGAAAATTAATGTCACACCACCAGCCTTATGACTCGCTGTCATCTTAGAACCGCTCACCTTTTATCAATGCTCTAAATAACATTTCAAGCCCATCGTCTCACGGTGGACAATCTGGTCAAGGGACATTAAATCAGATGACTGTGAAATGTCATAATAAAAATGGAATGCTAACAACTTCTTCTCTAAACTAGCTCCTCTGGTTTTTAAACTGTGACAAGGGGGAGCAAGGGTTCAGCATACCCGTTCTGAAAAGGTCAGACAATCGCTCTTGGTCTACCACCCATTACTACTCGCCCCCTATTGACCTTCCCTGCTTTCCTCCCCCCAAAAGAAGGGGGAAAAAAAGAAAAAAAAATGGAATTAGCCATCTTTTCAGAATGTGGTGATCAAATAATGGCTCACACAGTAATGTCTGTTTAATTTGTGGGGCTTCAGTGCTCCGCAATGAACCGCTGACTGACAGCAATGGAAAGCCTTTGCAGGCTCTTTCATAGGAGAGTGGGCCAATTCATTTACTTCCTTACCACAACCAAATTCTTAAGTCTAACCTAAACTTTCAAAAATGCACATGTTCTCACAGGAAAACGTATCAATAATTTCCCAAATAACCTCCTTTATATGTTGCTCTAAAACAAGTGATAGTTCAGATATGATACAGCATTCATTCATCCATCTCATAATCTATATAATAAAAAGGAAACACATTGAAACCTTAAAATATAGGGCTTTGCCCTTGTATTGCTATGCCTAATTATAACACATGAGCTATTGCATACAGTGGCTTTTTGGCAAGTATGTCTGTAGAGGCAAATACAGGCCTATGCTTGAAATTCAGGGTTAAAAAAAAAGTATGTATAAATCTGGTTCACTTTTTAATATAATGAGCAGAATATAATCTGAGAATTAGCTAGAACATCCACATAATATTTTAAATTTTATTGAAATAATAACATTTGAAAAAAGGTGTGGAAACAAATATTCAAATTCTGGATGGAAATCACCAATTTAAGGAACCCCATCCAGCAAAATGAAAAAAAAAAATCAATAATAGTTGGATTATTTCTAATTACCTAGCCTGCAGTATCATTCCAAAATATGGCATAGTATCAAATATTAATTTGAGAAATATAGTATTATAATACCTAGAATAATTCTATATTAACACATATATTTATTCCAAAATATGGCATAGTATCAAATATAATACCTAGAATAATTCTATATTAACACATATATTAATTAATTCCTTTACATTTTTTTTTAATCCATGAGGATCTCTTCTGCTAACAGCAGACTATATTTTGGTAGGTACCAAAATGTGAAACAATTTTCATAATTGCAATTATGTATTAGAAGATTCTTCACAATACCTTAGGCTCTTAGGTAGTTGAAAAATATATACTATTTAGCCTTGCTAAGTCACCTTCATTAAACTGTTTATGAGGACACCATTGGAGGATGAGTTGTACAAGCATTAGCAGACAGCTGATTCAGTGGAGATAGCCAGAATAAATTTGCTGAAGTGCACAGCCTGCTAATCTGTTTGAAGAATATTGTAGAGCATTAGTACCAGCACTTCATGTTATCTGCACAGCCTGATAAGGTACATCTTTATTAAATTCGGTTATTGAAAGGATGTCAGTCAGCAAATAGGAATATTTTAAAAATCTAAAAAAAAATATTAAGCGGTCCTTTGTTAGTCAGAGCTTGGTTTCATAGCTGAGTGTCTAGAGGAGCCTTCTAAACACCTGGCAGCATCGTACAATACAAGCTTTGTCATTTTAAGTGGAAAAGCTTTTCCCCCAGTTTCATGAGTACTGAGGTATTCACTTTCTGAGCCTCCATTGAGAGAACGGTGGAGTAAGAGCTCCCCTCTCTGTTGATTCAAGAAAACTACATGGTGGGAAATGGAAAGTGTGAGGATGCAGGGAAAGAGGCAGCTTTGGTTGTGAATATTTTGGTTTGGTGAAAATTGAAGAGGGTACTTATTTTAGTGACTCACTATTCCAACCCATCTCTCTACACTTGATTAAAAGGTAAGGAGGCTTCCTTTTGATTATACTTCATATTCAATTAAAAAAGTAAAGGAACAAGTGAGGCTTTTCTAAACAGTTGAAAATAAGAATGATTTCTCGGAATACCCTCTAGTTACCAAGCTACTCATTAATGTAAGTGCCACTGACTCTATTTCAAACTTGGAAAGACAAAGAAATATGGATTGCAATGACAAAAAGTCAATGAATTAATTTTAAAGTAATATTGTGTAAATTTAACTTTCCTTTATGGGATGTTCCCTGCATGGTAATTGTACTGCCTGAAAGAATCACTGAGGAGAATCTCAGAATCTAGACCTTGCTCTGGAAGAGGCTCTAGAAAAGACCTGGTGTCTAGACATCAGTGGGGAATGCAAGTGCGTCTGCAAAGATAAGCGTGGCATTTGCATTTGCCCAGTTTTCTGCGCCTGCTGATTGATCTGTCAGACAGCTTTTCCGATGTACTTCCGTCACTCCAGGTACATTATTTATAACCTTACTAGTCACACATGACTCGAGGGGGGAGGGTTACATACGTACATATCTTTTTAATATTTCCTCCCGTTCTTTCTGGTCCTCCAGGGAGTTGACAGAGAGGTCAGAGATACTGACTGTGGCGGAGGCTGTCAGGGTGACCAGCAGCACCAGGTGTCCCTCACCCTCTTCCAGCTGCAATTCCAACTTGTGCGTCTGTTCCCTACTGAGGACCGACAGGTCGACCTGGCACCTGGAGACAAATGTTTTGAATTAGCAAGTGGCTTTTCCCCCCCAACATCAAACAGTGGAAGTTCAGGCTGCTCATAGCAATGTGAAAAGTAAATCAATAGAAACAGTATTTGGACCATTGGAAGAATACATCCCTCATGTCAGCTGACTTTCTTTGCAAAATTCAGCCCCTGACTATCTTAGTGTCTAATTGCTGATTTCCTGTAAGATACAAAAGCGTGCTTATCTGATTCACTTACTGCCCACTGTCACCATATTCATAAATCGGCAGGGACTTCCAATGCCTGGATGGCCTAGGTCAGTGGGGCCTTGCTTACAGAAAGGCTACCGTGAGTCTGAATTTTTGTATCACCTTTAAACCAATGGGTGTTTTTTCCCCCTCATTTATAAATATAATGTATAAAACAATGATTAGAATATGCACTCTGGTGATGCCATAAGTTTTACATTTTTAAAACCATGCCAATTTATTCATAGAGCACCTATAAATCTAAATAAAAAGCAAACAAATCCTCTGAAAACATCAAGTGTTATGTAGCAGAACCATCCTCGGAGGTTTCATAACGTGGCAGCCCATGGACCACAAGCCACTCTCGGGGCTGAACACCTTGCAAGCTCTTTTCATAAAAAGGACAATTGATTTGGAAGAGAAAGATACTGTGGTAACCACAAGGCTGGTAAACGGAGAGAAAGGGGGCAGATATGAATAAAAGGCATTTAAAACAGGAAATAGCCAATTACAAGAATCAATGTGGTAACACAGAAACAGGATGCTCAGCTATCAGGGACAAATTAAATTTTTGCTCATTTTCTTCACTTTATTATTGTTTATTGTTTTGCTTTTAAATTAAACTATTATGAATAGGGCCTCAAAGCTTATAGTTGTGCTCAAACATCTTTTTAAGCATGACTGATTTTAGGAATTGAATCCAAAGTTTGACATTTACCTTTTCTTTTTGCCTATCAAAAGTGACAGCAGAGAGAATCGGGGCTAGAAACAATTGGGAAGAAGAGGAATATGGATGCAAGAAATGGGAAAAAAAAAGAAAGAAAGGAAACACCCTGGTCAGTGACAGAAAAATGTGTGTGTGCTAAATGGTAACTATGGAGAAAGGAAGAAATTAGAGTCTGTGGCAAGCCTGAAAAATATCTTCTTAAAGTTAGAATATACATCAAATAACCTCATTGTTTCTGTAAATACAACATCTATTTCAATATACTCTCATGCTGTCTTTTAAACTCTAAAGGATGAAAGGACATATCAAATGCCATCTAATATTCTAATTTAAAATTTTTTTTATTATTTACTTGAGAGAGGAGGGAGACACACACACACACACACACACACACACACAAACATCAAGTTGTAGTTCCACTTATATATGCATTCATTGGTTGATTCTTGTATGTGCCCTGACCAGGGATCAAACTCACAACCCTGGTATATCAGGACGATGCTCTAACCAACTGAGCTACCCAGCAAGGGCTCTAATACTCTCATTTTAATTGCAATTAAGTTCTGGTCAATGACACCTGGAACAAATTGAGCGTAAAAGAAATGCAATGGAAAAAACAGCCAATCAAATGTATTCTCTAATAAAAGAAAAACATCAATATCATTTTCTATAAATCTTTGCAGTATCTGGTACAGTGCCTAGCCTGTAGTTTGTTGAATAAATCTTTGGACCAGATTAGGAGTATGATATTAAAGAATTGAACAGAGATTACAATTCAGATAGTACTTTTGGTTGGATAAAGTTGGTGTCAAGAAGGGTCTCTCACTCACTTTGATCACGCATTTCCCTGTCCTGTCGTTGCCTTATTCTTTGGTGAGACACTGTATCACTCATAAAACACAAAACAAATTGAAGCTTTCTGGGGGTTTTCCTTCTATGCCTATTCCCATTTCACATTGGTCATATAGATGCTGGGCTACTCCTTGTTTATAGTAGAGTTTTTGCATTTAATACTTTAGACTTGGGGAAGGTGCTCTAAAGGTAATCTGGCCCAG